TTTCAGATCTTAATGGAAAAGCAGAGCAATTGATAAAAAGAAATCTAAACAGTCAGTTTGAAGGAGAAAGCCCATTCATCATGAGCAGCATCTTTGTTTTAAAAAGTCACAGTAGGTAATGACTATGTTAAGATTGTTGATGTAGAGAGCTCTTCTACCCCTATAGAAAAGGCAATTTAGAACTAGGATAATCTCCCCCCATGACACTGAAAAGAAAGAAAGAAAAGCCTCAGCCTTCATTCCTGGTGGCATGAGAACTAGATGAGGAGCACAAGCTCTTTTTGAAAATTTGTCATATGTGTCCTTGTTCCACATCACAGTGGACCTTATATCTCTGCAGAAAGAAACTTCATTGAATTTCCAGGCACTGATGAGCCTATTTAGGACAACTCCTTTACAGGTCAGGCAAAATCCTGGAATAAATTCTATAACCCATTTACACAGAATTCTAAGTCTTTCGGTGACATACTGAGCAACTAAACTTGTGTTGGACTGCCTCCTTTGACATTCCTAATCACGCGCAGTCCTATAATTGTGGTGCAAGTAAAAGGCTGCAAATTATTATGTATTTTTTCTGTTGTTTAATTAATTGTGTTTGTGATTTTGTTTTCTCTGATGGGGAATGCTCGGTAGGTTGTTGTGAGTTTTCCAGGCTGTATGGCCATGTTCCAGAAGCATTATCTCCTGACATTTCACCCACATCTATGGCAGGCATCCTCGGAGGTTGAGGGGTGTGTTGGAAACTAGGCAAGTGGGGTTTATCTATCTGTGCAATGTCCAGGGTGAGGGAAAGAACTCTTGTTTGCTTGAGGCAAGTGTGAATGTTTCAACTGGCCATCTTGATTAGCATTTAATGGCTTTGCAGCTTCAAAGCCTGGCTGATTGCTGCCTGGGGGACTCCTTTGTTGGGAGGTGTTAGCTGGCCCTGATTGATTCTTGTCTGGAATTCTTGTCTGCTTTCTGAGTGTTGCTCTTTATTTACTGTCCTGATTTTAGAGGATACTGGTACCAGATATTGCAACATTCACACTTGCCTCAAGCAGGGAAGAGTTCTTTCTTCCACCATGGACATCCCACAGACATATAAATCTCACTTGCCTGGTTTCCAGCAGACCCCTCAACCTCGGATAGATGCAGGTGAAACGTCAAGAGATAATGCTTCTGGAACATGGCCATACAGCCTGGAAAACTCACAGCTACCCAGTGATTCTGACCATGAAAGCCTTCAACAATTCAATGCTTGGTAGATTTTGTTGTCCCAAATGCTAAAATGATATGCGCTAGATTTGGCTGTCAAATGCCATGGGAAGGCCAGGGAGAGTGTTTGCCCTTCAGTCTGCATAGCATTTTGGGTCAGCCACCTCAACTCCCGCTCTGTGTGGGCTGAGCTGTGTTTGCTTCCTTGCAATGATACTGACCGGTCCAGCTCTGTGGAGTACTACTGACCAGTGACCACCACTAGGCGGCTGAGTAGAGCTTTTCTTTCTTTCTCCGACCCCAGTTCCTTATGAGCATCTCGGAGGCTCTGGAGTTTTGTTTTTGCAACTTTGGTTCAAGCTTATCTCTGACTCTCTGACTAATCTTGCTCTGAGAGGGTGTCTTGGTTGACTCTGTTTTGGCTGCTCCTGCTTTTAATCTTTCTTAAGGTTGTCATAACTTTAGTCAGGGGTTGTGTAGTTTTAAGCAGAGGCGATAAGCATTTGCAGAATCCCATGGGGGCATCTTGCAGAGAGGAAAAGGGTTTCCAAAGTGCTTCCTAAAGGATCAGGGCAGTTTAGGTTCTGGGTTTATCTAGGAGAAACTGCAGGTCTACCTTTACTTAGGCAACAATTCAGGTATGCTTTGGAGAGGCAGGTTCAGTGGGATGCCACCCCTGCTCTTCCACCTGCACTGGTGTAACAACTCAGCATATGTATCGTTGAAGGCTTTCGTGGCTGGAATCACTGGGTTGTTGTGACCTTTCCAAGCTGTAATGCCATGTTCCAGAAGCATTCTCTCCTGATGTTTCATCTGCATCTATGGCAGGCAACCTCAGAGGTTGTGAGGTCTGTTGGAAACTAGGCAAGTGAGGTTTATATATCTGTGGAAATGTCCAGGGTGGGAGAAAGAACTCTTGTCTGTTTGAGGTAGGTATTTATTTGTCGTGTCAGAACAACCAGTCTAACAGAACAAAGCAGACAAACAGAAAAATACACAACTTGTGAGTTTGGTAGCTGGTTAAATGTCCTTTGACCAGTATCTGGCCACTTGGAGTGCTTCCGGTGTTGCTGCAAGAAGGTCCTCCATTGTGCATGTGGCAGGGCTCAGGTTGCATTGCAGCAGGTGGTCAGTGGTTTGCTCTTCTCCACACTCGCATGTCGAGGATTCTACTTTGTAGCCCCATTTCTGAAGGTTGGCTCTGCATCTCGTGGTGCCAGAGCGCAGTCTGTTCAATGCCTTCCAAGTCGCCCAGTCTTCTGTGTGCCCAGGAGGGAGTCTCTCATTTGGTATCAGCCATTGGTTGAGGTGCTGGGTTTGAGCCTGCCACTTTTGGACTCTCGCTTGCTGAGGTGTTCCAGCGAGTGTCTCTGTAGATCTTAGAAAACTATGTCTAGATTTAAGTCGTTGGCGTGCTGGCTGATACCCAAACGGGATGAGCTGGAGATGTCTCTGCCTTGGTCCTTTCACTATTGGCTGCTACTTCCCGGCGGATGTCAGGTGGTGCAATACCGGCTAAGCAGTGTAATTTCTCCAGTGGGGTAGGGCGCAGACACCCCGTGATAATGCGGCATGTCTCATTAAGAGCCACATCCACTGTTTTAGTGTGGAGGTGTGAATGTTTCAATTGGCCACCTTGATTAGCATTTAATGTCCTAGCAGTTTCAAGGTCTGGCTTCTTACTGCCTGGGGAATCCTTTGTTGGGAGGTGATTAGCTGGCCCTGATTGTTTCTTGTATGGAATTCCCCTGTTTTTGAGTGTTGTTCTTTATTTACTGTTATGATTTTAGAGTTTCTTTAATACTTGTAGCCAGATTTTGTTCATTTTCATGGTTTCTTCCTTTCTGTTGAAATTGTCCACATGCTTGTGGATTTCAGTGGCTTCTCTGTGTAGTCTGACATGGTGGTTGTTTGGTGTGGTCCAGCATTTCTGTGTTCTCAAATAATCTGCTGTGTCCAGGTTGGTTCATCAGGTGCTCTGCTATGGCTGACTTCTCTCTGTATGCTTGCCCACAATGACCTGCCTCATGCACAGAGGAAGAAAGGTTTAAAGCTACAGACAGTGTAGTTGCTGTTGCCCATTTTTGGTCTAAATCTATTTAGCAGCTTGTGATCCCTTTATTTTATCAGTTTTAATCTTATCTATTTATGTAATGCTTTTGACATGAAATAAATAAAACCTGAACTTTGGCGAAGTTCTCTAGGGCAAAGAAGGGGACCTTTGGCCTCACCATTCTACCCCAAAGCAAGATGATGCCAGGCTCTGCCGGTGGGGGCCCTTAACACATGTAAAGTTGGATTAATTTGTAAACATTCAATGAAACTGTGACCTATCCCCCTATCTTCACTCTTGATTGAGGAGTAATAGCCCTGATCAAATCATGGCCAGCATGTATTGGAAAACTTCCTTCCTCCTCATTTCACTGGCCTGATTGCATTAAAAAGAAAGATTAATTCAATCAGTGAGCTTCAAGGTGAATCACTGCGAAATGTTGGGAAGTCCCAAAGGGGCTGACATTCTCCAGTCCCAATACAACTGAATTATAGGTTTGTTGTGAGGTTTCCCAGCTGTATGGCCATGTACCAGAAGCATTCTCTCCTGGCGTTTTGCTTGCATCGATGGCCGGAATCCTCAGAAGTTGTGAGGTCAGTTGGAAACTAGGAAAAGGTGATTTATATATCAGTGGAATGTCCAGGGTGGGGAAAAGAACTCTTGTCTGTTTGAGGCAGATGTGAATGTTGCGACTGGCCATCTCAATTAGCATTTAATGGCCTAGTAGTTTCATGCTCTGGCTTCTTACTGTCTGGGGAATTGTTTGTGGGGAGGTGACCTGGCCCTGATGGTTTCTTGACTAGAATTCCCATTTTTGAGTGATTAAGCAACTAGATTAAGGGGTATGAAAACTAGGAAAATGGGGTTTATGTATCAGTGGAATATCCAGGGTGGGAGAAAGAACTCTTGTCTGTTTGAGGCAGGTGTGAATGTTGTGATTGGCCACCTTGATTGGCATTGAATTGCCTAGCAGTTTCAAGGTCTGGCTTCTTACTGCCTGGGGGAATCCTTTGTGGGGAGGTGATGAGCTGGCCCTGGTGGTTTCTTGTCGGGAATTCCCCTGTTTTTGAGCAAACAGATTAAAGGGTATTCATATATATATAGAGGGGGGGGGGCAGTGGCTCTCAATCTGTAGGTCCCCAGATGTTTTGGCCTTCAACTCCCAGAAATCCTACCAACTGCTAAACTGGCTGGGATTTCTGGAACTTGTAGGACAAAACACCTGGGGACCCTCAGGTTGAGAACCACTGATATATATATATATATATATATATATATATATATATATAGAGAGAGAGAGAGAGAGAGAGAGAGAGAGAGAGAGAGAGAGAGAACCCCTTAATCTATTTGCTTAATCTAGTTTTTTTTTCTCTTTCGGGTATTGCAGGATTTCAGATATTTTGCCCTTCCAGGGAAGCCCAAACTAAAAATCCCACCCTCCAGATTCCCCTTTCTTTTCTCTTTGCCTGTGTATGTCTGTGGAGGGGGCGGGAGGGAGATTTTCTGCATGAAGCAATACCCAAAACCCATGAAACCACTTCCCACCCCCTTTCCAAATGGGAGTCTCAGGAGAACATTTTTTTAAAAGGGGGGGGGGGAGAGAAAAAGAAAAAAAAAAGAGGGAGGAGGTTGAGGGAGGGAGGCGAAGGAGAGGGGTTAGATAACCCCTGCAATTTTATTGGCTGGATTACCTTGATAGTTAGAAGTTTGAGCATGCCCATTGGATGGGTGTATAAAAGAAGGGACAGTGAGCGCTCTCCGCCTGTCTCCTCAGTTGTGGAGCAGTTCATTGAAACCAGAGCTGCTGAGGCTGCTGCTGCTACCGGGGAGCACCAACCAAGCCGCAGCACCAACCTGGGTGGGAAGCCAGCCTGAGCCAAGGAGGCAGCACCAGCCGAAGGCAAGCCAAGCCGATCCTTCGGGGGCTGCTGCTACTGCTGCTGCTGCTCTTGGGGGTCTTTGTGGGTCTTCTTCCGCATGATCCAAAGGGGACTTGCTCAGCCCAACCCAGCCAGCAACATGTCAAGAGAGCAGGAGAAAGCCCACAGGGGGGAATGCAACGGCAGCCACGCCGCCTTGCTCCAAATCTCCACGCAAGAAGTTGAGAGCCCCTCGGGCAGTTCAAAGGTAAGGGGAAAAACAAACCGTCCGGAGGCTGGTGGTTATCTATCTCCTTGGCTTAAAGCAAACGGGAGGCTGGGCAGTGTGGAAGGAGGAGGAGGAGGAGGAGGAGGAGGAGGAGGAGGAGAGGAGCTAGTGGGTCAGCAGCATCACAACAGACCCTCTGCTCTGCCCGCCGCTTGGGTGGCTGGAGCGGTGGTGGGTCCTCCGGGCGCGACCCTCCTCCTCCTCCTCCTCCTCCTCCTCCTCCTCCTTCTCTTCCTCCTCTTCTTCCTTCGCCTTTTCTTTCCCACCTCGCGCGCTCTGGAGTTCACCGAAGGACGCGCGCCGATTTGGGTGAGCAGCGGGGGATGAACCAAGACGGAGAAAGAGCCAAACAAAGCTCCGAAGTCCACCGGGGTTTGCGGGGAGGGGAAACCCGCTTCGGGGAGTCTTTTTCTGGACTTCCCAAGAGAACCAGGGACGGGAGTCTTCAGCACTCTTTGCGCCGGAGAGGAAGGGCAGGGGAGGATAGGATAGGATAGGATAGGATAGGAGGGGGGGGGGGAAGGGAAACCCACCCAAAGTTGGAGGCTTGTTTTTCTGCACACCTTTGCCCTCCCCGCTTCTCCTCCTCTCGGCCAGTCGCGGAGAGGAGCGTCCGGCGCAGAGGAGCCTACCGACCCTCCCCTCCCCATGAGCTTGGTTTTTGTATCGATATTTTTCTTTCCTCCCACTTTTGGGGGTTTGCGGAGCAAGTGAGGAAAGGGGGGCTCGCTCTGCACTTCTGAGACGGCGACACTAGAGGGAACCCGAGGGATGGGTCAGAACCCACTCGCTTTTGACTTCTTGCGAGGCTTTGGCAGGTTAAGTCTGGCTGGAGAGCGGGGAAAGGAAGGCGGCGCGGTTTCTGGCACAGCGCGCCAAAGCCGGGCAGAGGCTGGGTGGGCGCCTCCGGGGCGTGGGGTCCCCTTTAAAGGCGCCTGGGGGCAGGGGGCACCCCAGAACCCAAGCCTTGGTCCCAGCAGCAAGTCGAAGCTCAGAGCGCCCCAGGTTTTATGATGTCGCGAAATTGCAGGTCCCCTTTTTTCTCTCCAAAAGTATGCCTTTCTTGGTGGTTGTAAGTTTTTCGGGCTGTATGGTCATGTTCCAGAATCATTGTCTCCTGACGTTTCGCCTAACATCTGTGGCAGGCATCCTCAGAGGTTGTGAGGTCCTCATAACCTCTGAGGATGCCTGCCAAAGATGCAGGCGAGACGTCAGGAGAAAATGCTTCTGGAAGATGTGAGGTCCTCACAACCTCTGAGGATGCTGCCATAGGTGCAGGCGAAACGTCAGGAGAAAACGCTTCTGGAACATGTGAGGTCCTCACAACCTCTGAGATTGCCTGCCAAAGATGCAGGCGAAACGTCAGGAGTGAATGCTTCTGGAACATTGCCATACAGTCCGAAAAACTTACAGCAACCCAGTGATTCCGGCCATGAAAGCCTTCAACTATGACTTTCTTCTTTAGTTCTGTACTATCTGAGCGAAGGTGGAAACACCCACCTTCCCAATCCACACACACACACACACACACCCCTCTAAGTAGTTCTTGGAGAGGTCTTAAGGACATTGATAGGTCTGAAGGGAAAGCTAGACGATTGTGAGCTCAGTCTTTAGAAGACTTTTGAAGCTGCAAGGCCATTTAATGTTAATCAAGGTGGCCAATTGCAACATTCACACCTGCCTCAAGCAGACAAGAGTTCTTTCTCCCACCTGGACATTCCACCTCCCAAAAAAGGATTCCCCTAGGCAGCAATCAGCCAGGCTTTGAGGCTGCAAGGCAATTAAATGCTAATCAAGATGGCCAGTTGAAACATTCACACTTGCCTCAAGCAGACAAGAGTTCTTTCTCCAACCCTGGACATTCTACAGATAGATAAACCTCACTTGCCTAGTTTCCAACTGACCTCATAATTTCTAAGGATGCCTACCATAGATATGGGTGAAACGTCAGGAGAGAATGCTTCTGGAACATGGCCATACAGCCCAGAAACTCACAGTAACCCAGACTTTTAAAGCCTTTGGAGATTAAGGAGGCAGCAGTCCCAAAAGGGGTTTGGATACTGGGTTTGTCTCTTTCTCTGCCTAAGGATATGCAAAGTCCTGTTCTGGCTGTGGGGGAAAAGCCCCCTCAGTGGACATTCCACAAATATATAAACCCCACTTGCCTAGTTTCCAGCAGACCTCACAACCTCTAAGGATGCCTGACATAGATGTGGGCAAAATGTCAGGAGAGAATGCTCCTGGAACATAGCCATACAGCCTGGAAAACTCTCAACAACCCCAAAATCCCACCATTTGCTTGTTATTGTTATTATTACAAAAGTATTGCCTGCTTTGCTCAAGCTGCTTTGGTGGGAAGAAAAGTTTTGAAAGACTGTTGGATTTGGTGTGAAGAACACACAGTTCTTTTGCCCCGGTGGTTATTAAATCCACTTCTTTGCAAAACATAACAAAAACAAAACCTGTTAGAGCTTTGAGGAATGAAAAGTCAGAAAAGGATGTGGGAGGAAGGGCGGGGGGGGGGGGGGGGGGGAGAGAGAGAGAGAGGCAAAAAAGGCAGCCAAAATCCAAGCTGAGAGTTAACTGTTGGCATAGGGCCTTCAACTTTGTATGGATATTTTATTATTATTATTGCCTTTCTTCTCTTCCAACTACTTTTCCCCCTGGAGGAATTGTTTGGAGAAACTTGGAAAGGTTTTAGCACTGCACTGAGCAGGAGGGATTTGGGGCACACGAGGAGACTGTAGTTTAATCTAAGTGTACCAGCAGATGTGTCTCAACTGCTTTCAGGCAGTATTATGTTAACTGGATTCCCGACTGGTTGACTCAGAATGCAGACTGTTTAATAAAGAATCGGGGTCTTTAACTGAGGCACTTCTCTGGAGAGAAGGGAAAGATGCTACAAATATATAGGATGGTATTCTCAGCTGCATAGGAATCTTACTTGCACAGTGCTTGCTAGCCTGTGCCAACTATAGAGAAAGTTGTTTGCTTCTCCCTTGAAAGCTGCTCTAGCTGCCTCTGGTACAAGAAGGCTGTATGGAGGAAAGATAGCAGAGGCTCTCCTTCTTGAGGGGAGGCAAGGGCGGGGGGGGGGGGGGGATTGCTTTTTATGGCTGCCAGAATCTTTACTACCAGGATCTTTAATGGAAGGATGTACAACTGGAACCTCATTCCTGGCAAAACTTGTTGCTTGCTCAGTCACTTTCTTTCAAGTGAAAAGCTGTTTACCTGTGGTTTCCAGAGAAGGTGATTTACTATAATAACTCTGTTTAACCCGCTGAGTGATCTACACCAGCCCAGGAAGATGAATGGGACTGTTTTATGGAGCTATCTTTTCTGTCGTGAAAAGCGGCAGGTCTTTACGGTGTGGAGGTTTTCTTAACCCCTCTGTGGAAAAGGGTGTAACAGAGACATTGCCTGCTGAGAGCAGAACTCCAATGTATGCTTCGCCGTGACTTTGTCTCCTTGAAATCCATGTTGTTGTTGTTTCATGAGTAATGTGGCAGCTTAGACTAGCAGGTTTATTGTGGCAACAGCCGGCTTCATCAGCTGTATACAGTGAGGAGGAGGCTGTAAAGCAAGATCCTTGAAAACAGGCAGATGGTAGTAGAGGCTATTTTGGCCTCCGATGGCTCTGCTAGGTTATGAGGCAGTTGCAGAAAATACATCAAATGCTGGCATGGCAGGGAGGAACCACATACCAATATACAGTAGAGTCTCCCTTATCCAACCTTTGCTCATCCAACATTCTGTATTATCCAATGCAGTCTGCCTCCCGCCTGGATCCACAGCTGTTTCAATACACTCAGATGTTTTGGTGCTAAATTTTTAAATACAGTAATTACTATATAATGTTGCCATGTATTGAACTGCTTTTTCTGTCTATTTGTTGTAAAACATGATGTTTTGGTGCTTGATGTGTAAAATCATAATGTAGTTGACGTTTAATAGGCTTTTCCTTAATCCTTCCTCATTATCCAACATTTTCGCTTATCCAACATTCTGCCAGCCTATTTATATTAGATATGTGAGACTCTGCTGTACTGACATACCCTCTTTATTTGAAACTGAGATATGCATACTTTTAACATTATTCGGGTTCTGGAAACAAATCTGGAAGGACACTAGAGAAGAAGTTGCTAACTTGGGGAATTAAAACTGATCAGTCAGCTTTCTGAAGAATGCCTTTTAAATCTCCCCATCCTGGTTTCTGCTAGATGAATTTGGAGAGTCAAGCAGTACTGCTTCCCTTTTTAAAAATTCATTTTTCCAGGATATGAATGTTCATGCAATAGATTTTACACTTTGATGGGGTAAAGCTGTACTGTACTTGATTCACCATGGCAGCGAATACTTCTCTACGACCAATGGGTGGTGACTGTTAATAAAGACTTTAAAGTAGATATCCAGATGTTGAATCTTGCCCCCAAAAATAGTTTCATTACAGCTTTAGCATTTTGAAAGTTTGGATTATGCACCAGAGTAGGTTAACTAAAAGGTAACGGTTTTCCCCTGACATTAAGTCTAGTTGTGTCCAACTCTGTGGGTTGGTGCTCATCTCCATTTCTAAGCCAAAGAGCCAGCATCGTCCATAGACACCTCCAAGGTCATGTGGTTGGCATGACTGCATGAAGTGCCATTACCAGACCAGTACCTATAAATCTACTCACATTTGTATGTTTTCAAACTGCTGTGCTGGCAGAAGCTGGGGCTAACAGCAGGAGCTCATTCTTCTCCCCAAATTTGAACCGCCAACCTGCAGTGGGTTAAACTGTTTTGCTAATAAATCCCCTTTGAGAACTGAAGGTACAGGACCTGGTGCTTGAAGACAGTGTTAAAAAACAAAGGACAGTTTGGGAGAAAAACATCTCAAATAAATGACAAAGCAGATTAGTGGCATTCAACTTTGTTTTTACATTATATCTGTGTATGTGGAAAGAACAGAGATTGGAAAAATTACTTTTTCAAATGACAGC